GGTACACCCGACACGGCATTCGTCTGGAGTCTCTTCCAGTCGGTGATCAAGTCTCCGGAGATGTCTGATTCCAAACCTCTGCAGGATCAGATCAACAAGCTGGTTACTCGGCTTAAGGAGATTACGGCTGGTGGCATAACTCTCGGTGAATCGACCCAGGCTCTTCTCCTTCTGTCGAAGGTGCCTGAATCCTATCAATCGATGATCTCTGCGCTCATGGCGACGCAGAACATCAAGGATCTCAAGGTCGACTCTGTTCAGTCGAAGATTCTTGCCGAAGAATCTCTCCGCCGGTCTGGTATGGGACAGTCTGCGTCCAAGACATCCCAGGTCAAGCACAAGTCATCGGGTCCCTGTGGTCACTGCGGTGGAAATCACGGCAGTGAGAATTGTTGGACAAAGTACCCGCATTTGCGCCCCCAAAATAAGGGTGGCGGCAAGGGGAAAAAGGACAACAAGGGCAAAGGCAAAGGGAAGAATAAGGGCAAGGGCAATGGTAACGGACAATCTGGTTCTGGTTCCTCCAACGCTGCTACTACTTCAGACTCCACAAATGTTGTAACTGTAGAATCCTCCGTGTCGTCTTCAGCTAATACTATGACTGCTTCCTGGTATACTGCGGGTCACTCCGCTTCTGGAAGAATGACTGACTGGATTATGGATTCTGGTGCGTCGAAGACAATCACCAACGACATGGCTGATTTTTGGGACTATACTCCTTACGAGGAACCCATGATTTTTGGTACAGCCGGCAAGTCTAAGATTGCAGCTTATGGAGAAGGGACCATCAAAGGTGTTGTGCACGTTGAAGGGAAACATGTTAAAGCAACTATTACAAATGTTGCTTACATCCCTGCCGCATCTGGTCGCCTATTTTCTACTGGTGTTATTGAGCAATCAGGTTTTACCCTAGTTCAGGGAGGAGGTCGTATGGTCATCTATGACCAACCTATTTCGCAAGGTCGAGTCTGTGGTAACATGATCATGGAGGCACACCATAAGCCCTTCAATAATCTCTATATGTTGTACCTAGACATTTTGACACCGCAATCGGCAAAGTCTACAGACAAGTCGAATTTTCGTCTCTGGCATGAACGCTTCGGACATTCGTCTGAAGATGTTATTCGTCAGATTCCCAAGCACACTAAGGGTGTGGATTCCATTGGTGCCAAGGATACTTCTTCTCCTTGTGCAGGGTGTCAGTGGGGCAAGTCTCATCGCGCTCCATTTCCCCATCGGCTAAACGTGCTACAAAGCCCCTTGAGCTCATTCATACTGATGAGGACGGTCCTATGCGTACCACTGCAATAGGTGGATGGCGTTATTTCATCAGCTTTCTTGACGACTATACTGGTCTTGGTCGTGCCTATTATCTCAAGCACAAGAACGATTCGATCCAAGCGTTCGATGACTTCAAGGCATGGGCTGAGAACCAAACAGATGAAAAAATCAAGGCTGTACGCTCGGATCGTGGGGGGAATATACGTCTGCTGCTTTTACCGAACATTTGCGCAAATTTGGTATTGAACATCAGTTCACAATGCCGTACTCTCCTCAACAGAATGGGAGAGCTGAGCGCTGGAATCGGACCATTGTTGAGAAGGCTATGTCTATGCTGCATCATGCTGGACTAAGCCATGGTTTTTGGCAATTGGCTGTGGACACTGCGGTTCATATTTATAATCGGCAACCTATGCGACGCCTTAACTGGCAATGCCCCATTACTCTCTGGAATGGCACAATTCCGGACATTTCATACTTTAGGATTTTGGGTGCAAGGCATTTGTGCATGTGCAGAAAGAACAGAGATCTGGGAAGCTCGACAAGAAGGCTGTTGAGATGATCTTTGTAGGCTATGAAGTTGGTTCCAAAGGGTATCGTTTCTGGAACCCGGCTACTCGAAGTATTGTTGTGTCTCGTGATGTGACCTTCGATGAAGAGACATTTCCTGCACGAAAGGACTTAGGCAATAATCCGAAATCCCTGGATGAGCCGTTTGATGAACCTCCTGAGGATGCCAACTCAGAGGATTTAGATTTTGAGGATATTCCTATCCCTGTTCCTGTCCCGCCGGAACATGAACCTGAAGAACATCAGGAGCCAGTGGGAGATAATCCGCAACAGCAACCTGATCCAGTAGCTCCTCCGCAACCTCAGTATGAGCGTCCTCGCCGTCAAGGTGCTGGACAGAACCCTCAGAGGAATAGAGACAATGCCTATGGTGACGAGCCACCAGCAAGTATTGACCGTCGTACTGATAGTCAAGGCCGTCAACAACCTGAGGCTGAAACTGCTCAATTTATACGGATGCTGGCGGAAGCAAACCATGGTCTTCCCCAAAGTCATAAGGAAGCCATGGAATCTCACGACCATGATAAATGGCTCGCTGCTGAAGGTTCTGAGTACAAGTCACTCATGGACAATAAGACTTGGGTTCTAGTTCCACGGCCTAAAAACCGGAAGGTTGTCAAGTGCCGTTGGGTTTATGCGATTAAGCACGATGGTCGCTATAAAGCACGTGTTGTCGCAAAGGGATTTACCCAAGTATGGGGTCAAGATTATACTGAGACTTTCTCTCCGGTTGCACGGTTTGAATCTGTACGCTACTTGTTGGCACATGCAGCCCTTGAAGATTGGGAGATAGAGTCTATGGATGTCAAGACGGCATTCCTTAACGGTGACCTTGACGAGGAAATCTACATGGAACAACCCGAAGGATGGGTTGTACCTGGCAAGGAGAACTTTGTCTGTCTTCTCAAGAAGGCAATTTATGGATTAAAGCAAGCTTCTCGTCAATGGAATGCTAAGATCCACAAGTCTCTCCTAGACTTAGGGTTTAAACGGACTTATTCGGATGCTGGAATTTATGTCTTCTCCCGGGACTCTGACGGACACACCTGCCTAATCATATTGTATGTCGACGACTTGCTCATCATGGGTGACTCGAAATTGTTTATCGACAACATCAAGCAGAAGTTGTCCTTAGAGTATCAGATGACAGATCTGGGTGCTGTTCAGCGATTCCTTGGTCTTAGAATACGTCGAGAGCGTACTACACGTCTCATCTACGTTGATCAGGAAGACTATATTGAGTCAGTTTTGGAGAGGTTTCAGATGTCCAACTGCAAGCCTGCACGGACACCTCTTCCCGCTGGAGCAGACCTAGAGAAGAATCCAGACACAGCATCTGAGGTTTTCCGTACCCGCTACCAGAGCATTATTGGCAGCATCATGTATGCTATGCTCGGTACTCGTCCAGACATTTCTTTCGCGGTCACACGTCTGGCAAAGTATTCTTCAAACCCATCCAAAGAGCATATGCGGTTAGCCTACTATGTCCTAAGATATCTTCAAGGGACTAAGGAACTCGCTCTCTGTTATGACGGAGGCTCGAATTCTGGTCTGATTGCCTATTCAGACTCTGACTGGGGTGAAGATCACGATGATAGGCACTCTACAAGTGGCTTTACTTTCCTTATGGCCAATTGTGTCGTTTCTTGGGTGTCAAGACGTCAACCGACGGTATCTTTGTCTTCAACTGAAGCAGAGTATAAGGCCAGCTCTGACTGCTGTCGTCAGATGGCCTGGCTACGTCATTTTGGAGAAGAACTGGGAGATAATATGTCTCATCCAACTCCGCTTTGTCTTGACAACCAAGGCAACATTTTCCTTGCGGTGAACCCTGCTGTGGATCGCCGCACCAAGCATATAGAAATCCGTTATCACTATATTCGGGAGTTCTACGAACGTGGAGAAATGGAGATCTACTACGTCGCAAGTGAAGACCAACTTGCTGATGCCTTGACCAAGAATGTTCCATTCAGTGGAATTGAGAAATTCAGGTCTTCAGTTGGCATGATGAGATACTTGACATCTTGAACAAGTGGGAGTGTTGAACTTCCGACTTTCCAGTGTTATCTTATCTTATCAGTTACGTACATATATGGACTTGTGTTCTGCGATGTAGTATTACATACATTCTTTTGATGGACTCTGTCTGGACTCATCTTGTGACTCGCTCCAGACCGATCTACACTGTTCCAGACTTATTCTGGATCATTCCACTCCCTTCCGGCATGTTCCATGACCTTCCAGTACATTCCTTGATCACATGGACGCTTATGCATATCCCTATCTCTGGAGTTAAGGCTTACTCATTTCCCTAAAACTCGGACTTAGTGATTACTGATCTGCTTACTGATGTAGCATGTGATCAGTCCCAGACATGTATATATACTAGGGTGATTCCCCCCTAATGGATAACGATCTCTCCTCTCTTCTGCCTGCCTAGCATCAGAGTCTTCCCTCTGGGATAGGTCTGTTCACTCCACTCTACTGTCCTTCACTTCCACTGGCCTAACAAGCCCTTCTAAACCTCTTTCACTTCAACAGATGGGCCGGGACGAGACGAGAGGATCGAATGCATGAATCACGCGTATGCGCGGAGACAAAGGGCTGAGAAGGCTGGAGGCGGAACAGGTCATTAGAGTGTGTGTACATAGCACTACGCACTTACAGACAACGAGTAACGAGGCACTGAAATCCACTGCTGCCGGCACCGGACGCCACACTGCCGGTGTACTGATTAACACACTGCACCTTGTGACTTGCACCGACAGCCTGCTGCGAGCACCCGTATGTATTTCGGTATAAGTGAAGCCGCAGCGGATGTGCTGTCGATGTAATCAGCAAATGAGGGTATTGCGACCCACTAATCTGGATATTGGACGTGCGTACCAGTCACATAGTGTCCACAGCGGTGAACCACATGGCAGAATGACGAAGACGGTTCATTTGTCCATTCACGCCGGCGAGCGACTTCGAGACTGGATCTGCGTTTTTAGTCAGAATACGACGCGCGGCATCGCAGATGGTTCGACAGGGACTCAGTCAGAACCGGGCCACTCAGCCTGCCCAAACCAATCCTATCAACGGAACTTCTCGCAGATGTCCGCTGTCGAACGTGCCGTGGCAACGACTACAAAATGCACTCAGATGACTCAAAGCGGAACCGTTGTGTGCGGGTATTGCGTTCTGGACCGGCCCTTGTAGTTCGCAACCAAATTTGCCGAACACAGCGTGAGTCGACTCTGGCGCACGAGCCAAACTTATCAGCATGTGGAAAAGAGATGATGCGCATACCGAGTGCGTTATGAACGTCGCATAGTACACTGGAAAGACGTGGCATAAGTCAACACATCACGGTGAGAAGGATCGGTGCCGCACCTTCGATCGTGTCAGACTCCCTCGTCGCGACGTCCCCGCCTCCGACAAGCAGCGCAGACACGATCATCCGTCTTCCCGGATCCATGGAGACAGGAGGCAACGTCCGGTCATCACTCCGGTGCTAGATTCAAAATTCCGGTATCACGCCGGGACACCGCACCGGGACGACCCTGTCGGAGACAATGGTCGACCTAAGCTCCAGCGCACCAGGCGAGCGATGAATGAGAGACTTACCCATAAAATATCATACATGGCATAATGCTTGCACAGGATTGGGTTCTCGAGCTGGTTCAAGTCGGCGGCATAGCTAGATCGGTGTAGTACTAGTCAGGATAATGCGAGTGCGGTGAAATTGAATGCCTCACCTGTTGTGGTCCCAGCTTGGTCACGGTTTCATGATTCGACGTTGAAGTCGTAGCCAGAGTGATACAATGAACTTACCAGTGGCGCAGCCAGTGTGTGAGGCTGGGCACCGTGTTCCGCGCATAAACATCGCTTGGTTCACTTAGCATCGGAGAGGTGAAGTAACCGAGCTGGCGAAAGGCAAAAGACGGAGTGTGATGGCATGTAAGCGGAGTAAGTGCGGGAAATGGATGGTACAAAGGTGGAGGGCAGAAAGAGGATAGATAGCACTGGGCGAGCAAGGCCGGCTTTTATAGCTCGTACCTTCCGCGGAGTGGTCCGTGCGTCGTCAGCATGCCACGGAAGATCGTACCATGTCTCGGAACCATCCAGAAGCGGTCTCCGGTACCCGATGCCCGCCGTTCCCTGACGTCGCTTGCAAACTCCGGGCTAATGCGACTGTTATTCTCTCCTCCCTAGCGAGTTTCCAACCGTCGGAAGGCAACACGTACGTTCCAATTGATGCATCGCATATGAGCGTTCTGATAGGCGCCGTCCGGAGGTTTCACGCAAGCGAGACTACGTTGCGACGTGAGCATATTGCTCGTACTCGGGTTGCCTTTGAATGTAAGCTGAGTGGTCTTGTCCTGTGCGAGTGAGCGGGCCGCATCACCTGCGATGTTTGTACTCACAGTCACAGTTATAGAAATACAGGGTCGACCGTTGAGGGTAGTCGAGTACGAGAGGCAGGTACCGCCGCAGGAGGAGCAACGGATGATCGCGCGCAGAGGAAAGAGAATAGGCGCGCGAGAAAAGCGGTTGAGAGCCTCGTGTTCTGAGATCGGCTGGGGCGATCTCACGCTCTTCCGGATTGCACGCCTCCTCTCTGGCGCACTCCGCCCAGGCTCCTCCCCACCATACTGGACGTGCACTGACCGCCTGTTCCATACAGACATTTTTGAATGTTGCCCTCGCAGATATCACCCATATCTGCACTTGTATTTGAGACATGTAGTTGGTCACAGTAGTACTTATCATTGCAAGACTTGCTCTTTTCGGACCAAGGAGCAGTGGCAATGAGCCTTTGCTCACACTGTGAGGTACGCGCATCACAGGCCTGCCGAATGGAACAGTGACGTAGTATTCTGACTGCATTCCATTTCAAGGTAAAGCCGGTGTACGATCACGGAGAGCTTGGCCCGCCGAAGGGACAAGCGCGCTCGGCACCCGAGGGCTTCGGAGGACCGCATTCGTGCGACATTTATTCTGCACGCAGACTATTGCTTACCCTGCATGTAAATACAGTAGCTAGAGGAAGAAACATCACTTGAGAAATGCAGCCTAGGACATGATCTGCTCGAGGGTACCAGCCAATACTGGACAATTCAGGATTGGCTGACAGCCTTGGGCAGACAATGTCCTTGCCATCGGAAGCCGGTGCCGGGGATTATCCCCGGTTGCCAAGCGGTAATTCAATTGATGAGGTCATTGTTCTGGAGCGGTGTTGCCTGTTCGAGTCTGATGGATTCAGAGATTTGATCGGCTCATCAATATTTCCTTTTTTGTAACAGACAACAGCTTGAGGACATGAGTTATTGAGAGATTAGAAATGGTTCCTAAGCCCTAGACAGTACAAACATTTCTTTCATTGTGAGACCTAAGAGTGAGGATACAGCACAGTGCTGAGCTTGAGTGAGAAATTGTACCATACAGGGCCTGAAACACTCAGTGGCCGCTTAGCCACCATCAGCCACCCATGGCCGAAGGCTCGAAGCGGTCTTGACCGGCAGAGCCTAATTTGGGTGAACAATGGGAGGCCGGACTCAGCCCGAGGCCGAAGGAAGCCCGCGGAGTTCAGCGACGAACTCCAGTCTCCAGTATATATACATGAGCAGGCCCACCCTCCTCTCACGGAGCAGAAGCTATGCCAGGCCATGGTAAGTACCATAGCCAATCTGCTCTGTTGCTTACACTAACCATTCCATATGTTCGACGTCTCACAGATTGTTACTAACAGACGAGCTGCCCCATGCTCGAAGCTGGACAGCACGCAGATGCACAGTAAGTCAGTTCGCAACTCATACAGCAGGTCCTCGTACTGACTGTGTCCCAGCTCACAGGTGGTATTGCACTCGCCGAGACAGACACGCAGGCAACGGGTAATGTAGGCTCGCCGAGACGAGGACCAGTGACCAGGTGAGGTTTCCCGGCCGCCCTCGCCCTCGAGCCACACTCACGAACACGCTGGTTCACAGGCAATCACTCGGAGCACGCGCACGATATACTATGTCTCATTAGATAACAGCGAGCGAGGCTCACGGTACGTTGCTCATCGAGCCTTCATCACTGATCCAGTACTCACCCCTTGTCCCGACAGCACAGCTCTCCGACGAACAAGGCTACACGGCACACGACCCACCACAGACGACCTATCCCAGACTGGACAAACGGCGCAGAGGCTTGTCGTCCGCCAGGTGTATTGGCGAACTCCGTCCTGGTCTCAAGTCTCCACCATCGACAGCCGTCGTATGCGTGTGTCCGGTCTGCAAGCGTACTGCATGCTGCTCCCAGAAGCCCCACATGGCATCCGCGCACCGGCCCAAGCAAACGGTCCCCATCCCTCTACGAGACAGAGCCGCAAGAGACCGTATCTAGTACGCTCGTGCCCGTCATGTTGGTCCCTCCCGCCCAAACTTCCTCTGCATACCCCTCACGAACGACACGTCCATCGCGCACTCCTCGGGTTCATTCACGTCGGCTCGGTGACGTTGCTCGCTCGCAATGTACGGCAACGGCTGGTCACGCACGAGGAAGGCGATGTCTGCTGTCGTCCGCCGGACGTCTCGTTGCGTACCTCGATTGATGCCGAGAAGGAAACCACTCGGTCAACGTACCTCGTCTGCGCGTGAGGGGCTTGGCCTCGACACGCACACCGCCGCTCCTACGTGGATCCCACTGATATCTGTTGGGGCTGCTCTGTTCCCCCCAGTACCTTCTTGTACTACACCGTCGCCATCCGCCGTCCGGACCGTCACAACGTATCGTCGTCCGGTGAGCTGAATGTGGTGTGTCCCAGCTTGTGCTGCATCGACGGGCATGGCACAGATCCTTTGCGGATCTCCTGCACGAGGCCACCGTCTTGGGGCGCGCCCCCGCATCTCCATGGAATCCTCTGGGACGACTCGCAGTCCAACCTTTGAACACACGACATATCGTTGTCCGGCGAATCGGACCCTGCGCGCCCCTGTTCACCGGGTCCCTTGTCGATGTCTCCAAGTCCGCCTCTCGCCCACGTCGAGGCGGGCAACGGTGCGGGTTCGTACGAGGGTCTGGTTCGGGTGCTGTCCGGTTGTACAGCACGCGATCTCCACCGGACACCCTTGTCACTACCGCAAATGAGCATGGTCAGTGGACCTACCTCGATTGAATCAACGTTGCACGATGACGTGAACACGTCGCCACTCAGTCTCCCCTCTCACACCGTCTTCGCCCGTCCTCGTTTGCACCCACCGAACATCGTTGACACGACGTATGGGCGTCTGGCAAATTTGGCGGTCCTCGCGCGTGCACCGTACCTCGACCGGTCATGTCGACTGCACACAACGCGTCTTGCCACGGAAGCTGCTGGCTGACGCGGGGGAACTCGGTGAGCAAGCACGTCGTCACCGATACACCGTCATCTGCGGCCCCGGTCCCTTGGCACCGTATTTCGACCTGCAAAGACACGACACATCGTCGTCCGGCCAACGGACCTCCGACAACTGTCGCGCGTCCACCACCTCGGTCTGCACGATTATATTGAGGCGTCCTCACGCTCCGCCGGTCGTCTTGAGCGGGCCCGGTTCGACGAAGACACGAGGTATCGAATTCCGGCGAGCGGGATCGTGTGAGCGGGGTGGGCTCTCGCGGGGAGTCGAGGCGAAGGGAGCTCGAGGTAAGCGTTCAGCCGCTAGTGGTAACCCGTAGCTGACGGTGAGCAGGGCACTGGCAGTGGAGAGGGTACTGCCGAGGGACCACTGTCCAGGTGAGTAGAGTGTGCTATGCTCTGCGCGCTACGGTTACTCACGTAGGTTCGCCAACAGGTGCGTATCTGACATCCAACCACGTGCGAATACCACCGAGGGACGCGAGGGAGGGAGGGAGCCTGTTCGCGATGTGGAGTACAGCTGAGTGGCTGACGAGGAATCGTCTGCCGCGTTATCAATTAGCTGGTCGCCCTCGCGGATGATGCGTACCACGGCGTACGTCACTGGACGAGACCATCGGGACAGCGGGAGGGTCGTAGATTCGGAATCCGGAGATGGATAGCGGGGAGCACGGCATGCCATGGACGTGACGAGATGAGTCAATGCATCTGGGAATGAAGGATGCATGACTGACGCCGACTCGTCTGCCGCGTTATCAACTAGTAGCCATGGCGGATGCTGTATACGCGATCGGGACGGCGGGAGGTTCGTGGGCAGAGTGAGTTCAGAGATGGACGGCGGATATGCTCTAGAAACAACGAGGTGAGTGTGAGCGTCTACCAACGAAGGATGCGCGACTGACAGAAACTCGCCTGCCGCGTTTTGAACTGGCAGCAAATGCCGAGTATGCAGCCACGGCGAGTGACGGGACGGCGCGGGGATGCTAGGAGGACGGCGCGAGGCGTTGTAGGTGCGACAGGCAGCGCGACGAGGTGAGTCGGTACACGGGATTTGAAAGGCGCGTACCTGGCTGATGGCTCTCGTCTGCCGCGTTATCAACTTGTAGATCGCGCGAACGGGCACGTCACGGTGTTGCGCAGAGGGATGCGGCGACTGAGCACACATCGCAGAGGGTGAGCACGTACCGTGTCCGCGGCCGTCGACTGAGAGCAGCGTTCGTTTTGCCACCGAGTGTCCCTGCGGGGAGGCGGACGTATGCTCGTACATAAAGAAAGAGAGACGGACGTTCGAAAGAAGGCAAATTTTTTCGACCCTCCAGCCAATCAGCATGCGAGGAGGGACGGAGTGACGCGTCCTCCGCGCACGATCGGCCAATCAGAGCGGCGATCGAGCGCCCGTTCGAAATCGCGACTTGCTTCCGATGTTGTCGACGCGGCTTCTACACGCACTCGCACAGGGTTGACGCGTGTTCCATGTGCGTCATGCGGGGCCTGGACCACCGTCTCACTTTTTGACAGCGCAACCTGGCCATCCTCACTCCAGCGCTGGCGTCGCGCAGGGCACCGACCCAGTGCTCTTCGTCGACGTCGCTCAACGGCCGAGCGATCCCCCTCAATTCGCCTACTTCTCTACGCGCGCGACGCCGGTACGTCTTACTCTCAGTGTGCAGGGATGGATGGCGAGCTCATCATGTGTCCGCGCTGTGTACGCTGGTCGCGCATTCTACTTTCATGGCATGTCTTCTATCACCATTCGAAACATAACTGAAGCTCAGGTGATGGGAAACCCGCTCTCTGACAGTCAGCGACCTGCGGTTGACTGGTCGGCGGAGGCTGACAGTCACCGCGACCCTCGTTATAAGTACCTTCGCACCGTCTCCCTCCTCTACCTCACAGCCTATATTCTTCGTTCGCCTCGTCGCCCCCCTACACTCGTTTTTCATACACAGGATGCCGCCCAAGACGCCCTCACTCTCGGTGCACATCTCCTACCGACTCGACGGCAGCAAGGTCGCCTACATGCGCAGCCGCGAGCACGACGTCTGCGAGTACTACCCTGAATTTCTCGAACGCGACCTTCTGTACCTCCAGCTCCCCTCAAAGTGGATGTACGACACGACGCTGCAGAGCCTGCCCAAGGGGAAGATCCAGTGCAGGTGGTTCGCGGGCATCGTGGACGACGACTCGGAGGTGCGTTATGCTTTCTCGAAGTCCTTCTCTCACTGAAGCGTGTCCCCCAGTCTGGACTGCTCGAACAGATCGCCGGGCAGGTCGAGTTTCTCAACAACCCGGGTGCAGCTCAGCTGCTCAAACGCCTCGAGATGTGAGTGCCGTGCTGCTATTCCCAACATGAGAAACACTGACCCAGCGCGTTCGATTGGCAGTTCCAAGATCGAGCTCGCGCAGCCGTGAGTGGTCTTATCCTCATGCTTCTCCGTACGAATTCGTTCTTCACGCCTACCGAACGGCTCATCCATCCACCGATTCAGTGGCCCGCCATCCCTGCTGGATCGTGCCGGGTTCCACCCGCATGCATGCATGTATGCGGCCGTGTCCTTCGCCCGGTCTGGCACCAGGCATCGGGCAGGGCTCTGTCTCGCTATGGCGCTGCCCCCAAAGACCGTCACCATCCCGTTCCGAGTCCTATCCGAGTTGAACACCTGCTCACCAACTCGCCCCACGTAGGACCCCAGCCACGCAAAGCCCCGTCGTCCAACCGTCCGACGTACCACATCAGCCACGTTCCGATCCTCAGACCAGCGCGCCAGTAGCTGCAGAAACCGCCACACGGGCGGAACAGGAGACGCATGCCGGGGACGACGGCCAGCGCGCGCCCGCAGCGCCTACCGACCCGAAGGTCGCCGAGCTCGAGGACCTCCTCGCACAACACAAGGCCTGCTACGCCAAGCACACCGCGGAGAACACCGGTGAGTGCGAGTGAGCGCGTCTGCATTCCGAGCACGATGCTCACCCGGACTCGTATTATCCGCGCCCTCCGATACCCGCGAACGTTGCCGTCGACGCAGAACTGAACGATGCGTGTCGGCGTCTGGAGGAGGAGGAACGGCGGGCACGCGAGGAGAGGGCGCGTAAACGTGAGTGGCCAATCGTGCGATGTCGGTGACCACTCATGCGGTGTCCGTGCAGGCTTGCGTGGCGGGGCAGGCGGGGCCCGTGGTGGAGGTCGTGGAAGCGGAAGGGATGTGCGGCAGAGGGTGCTGTGATGCGCGGGAGGAGAGGGGTCCGAGCTCGGGGTCGTGAAGTGGGCGGATCCGCGTCGCGTCGAGTCTTGAATCGGAGGTCTGTACCTGCGTTGGTTCGAGTTCGTCGTGTGAGTTGCACGGTCTCGTCGACGCAACCGCCAGTGTCTGCGTATGATCCTACAGTCAGACGCGAGATTCCCAACGGGGTCGGGCAAGCTTGGGCCGCCGGGTCTGGGTCATTGTTCTGTTTCGCGCATTTCGATGTTGTATCGTATTCTACATATCAATAGGCAGATGTGTTAGACGATGCAGTCGCAAGCAGTAATGTACAGGTCCCTGACAACCACTCGACGCGAGTGAACATCGGCTTCGCAGACCTATCGAGGCGTGCCACAGCGTACTCCGTTGAACCTCTGAAGCGACTGCGGAATTCTTCATCCCACGATTGTGAGCTTCAAGCGAATTCAAGATCGGCGGGGGCAGACTCACGCATCGTGTTCCTGGGGAGTGACGTCCACCAGCTGCTGAAACAAGACACGACACTTCTCGAGCAAGGCTACCAATCGCACATGAGCAATTGCTCTCTCAAGGAGCGCGCGCGGAACTCATTGGCACCGCTTTCCCTCGGTTCAGTCGATAGCAACTCACGCTACAGCGCCGCCATCGCCTTGTCGCGACCTTTGAGGTTGTGAGCAACCGACACGTAGCAGATGTTTCAATATGACTAACCTCCGATAATCCTGTGCGTCTCTCGGTCTACATGTCGCACCTTTCTCCAGAGTTCTCGCCTATACTCGCGGTCCTTGTCCGCCAGCTGCGTCCGAATCTCCTCGACTCGCTACGCCAGTCTTGTGCGGCCCATGAGATGCGCCAGACTGAGACCCAAAGGCTGTAGACTGATACGTGCCCGTGCCGTCCAACGCTCCCACGAGCAGTGTGTCGAGACCCGAGATCCTGGCCGCGGTCGTACATGCTGCCGACCGAGCTTGAGAAGACTCACCAGGATGACCCGAGGCGTTGCCAGGTCACGGTGTCAATATCCGAGACAGCAGAGGGGTCGGACCGGGCGACTCCACGGAGAGCCTGGTGCTGATTCCAATGCTGTTGCGCAGTATGCTGCCGTTCTCCTCGCCCAGATTGTCGGGGCCGACGGACGAGCACCATGACCAGGCGCGAGGGCTTGCCCGACAGTTGTTGTCGGCGCGATCTGGTCTCCCGCAGCTAAGCAAGTGTTGTCGTGTCCAGAAGAGCCGGTCGCCAGCACGAACTGCTGAGTATGCGGTCGCCTGCGAGAGTGAGCAACAGCGACGTGGGCATTGTTCCGGCAACACCGTCGTCAGACCGCTTCAGGGGATTGCGTCAGACAGCATGGCGTGTACTAAGCTGCTGTCGCAGGGGCCTCGACGGTCGTTCACCGTAGTGCCATGTTTCGTGACCAGAAACGACCTCTGTACGCGACCACGTGCCTTCGTCGGAGGATGTGCGACGCACCACGGTGGCTGCCTCCGCTGAGTCCGCTCGTGTTGACCATTGCATCTCACATGCTAGCTGGTTCGTTGTCCACGTTTACCGCCTTCCTTTACAGCTGTTTGCCCGTCTTATCTCTTGCTCTTCATGCCTTGCTCATTCTCTACCTCTGCCGTCTCCGCTTGGCGACGTTGCCGCCACGTCGTGACCCACGACCACTTACTTGGCTACCAGTCGATCAGCTGCTACGCTTACACCATCCTGACTCTCGTTGGGAGCACCCTTGACTCGCCTGTTCTCTGCAACTCCGACGCACAGGGCTTTCGCACGCTGAGCTGGATCAGAAGCTGGCCAATGGGGTCGGGGTGTCGGTGAGTCCACTAGGCTACACCCTCCTGGACAGCGCCAACTTGAAGCTGACGGTTGCGTGAGAGTAGCTCTGGCGACTCCATCCCCGAGTGAGCGGTCGATTGCGACAGACGCCTGCTCAGCCGCGCCGCCGTTCATCACGCAGAAGACGACCTTCAGGACACGCAACGAGGAGCCATGACGATGTCAGGCACAACAGGCGCGGGGAACAGGTGAATGCGAGTGGCAGAGGAGCAGCGGCAAGGCACGTACGTCGTGTACTGATCTCGTACCGGTCTTGTTTGCCGATAACCGCCACATGTTCACTGCCAGCGGCGCTCTGCGTTGCATACGAGAAGGCCGTCTACGCGAGGCCGCAAACACAGGTCCAGTACCTGCCTCTCGCTAGTCGCGCTTTTTCGGCGCGAACAGCTGCACACTGCGTCAGGGGCATGTCAGGTGGAAGAGTTCACGAAACGTACACAGTAAGCATGGTCAGCGTAGTCCGGACCGATGTGTACTCACGCACAGGTTCGCTTTTCGTGGTCTATCACGTCGAATGTACGGGCGACATGTTTGTCGGGGCGAGGAGACCTGTTCGGCGCGACGTGAGTGGCGGCCGGGGTCGAAACGCACACAGGAAAGCGAGACGCTACGCACGTACCAACGGAAGGGTCGGGACAACACCCGCGACACTGTTTGATGGACGAGAACCACGCAAGAACATCCCAGGAATGGTAGCCGCCGTGCGTCGCCTGCACAGTCATCAAGGGGACGGATACGAGTCAGCCATGCACACAAAGACGTAGAGGACACCAAGAACATGCCACTTCACGAAACACGTGAGATGGGCCGGGACGAGACGAGAGGATCGAATGCATGAATCACGCGTATGCGCGGAGACAAAGGGCTGAGAAGGCTGGAGGCGGAACAGGTCATTAGAGTGTGTGTACATAGCACTACGCACTTACAGACAACGAGTAACGAGGCACTGAAATCCACTGCTGCCGGCACCGGACGCCACACTGCCGGTGTACTGATTAACACACTGCACCTTGTGACTTGCACCGACAGCCTGCTGCGAGCACCCGTATGTATTTCGGTATAAGTGAAGCCGCAGCGGATGTGCTGTCGATGTAATCAGCAAATGAGGGTATTGCGACCCACTAATCTGGATATTGGACGTGCGTACCAGTCACATAGTGTCCACAGCGGTGAACCACATGGCAGAATGACGAAGACGGTTCATTTGTCCATTCACGCCGGCGAGCGACTTCGAGACTGGATCTGCGTTTTTAGTCAGAATACGACGCGCGGCATCGCAGATGGTTCGACAGGGACTCAGTCAGAACCGGGCCACTCAGCCTGCCCAAACCAATCCTATCAACGGAACTTCTCGCAGATGTCCGCTGTCGAACGTGCCGTGGCAACGACTACAAAATGCACTCAGATGACTCAAAGCGGAACCGTTGTGTGCGGGTATTGCGTTCTGGACCGGCCCTTGTAGTTCGCAACCAAATTTGCCGAACACAGCGTGAGTCGACTCTGGCGCACGAGCCAAACTTATCAGCATGTGGAAAAGAGATGATGCGCATACCGAGTGCGTTATGAACGTCGCATAGTACACTGGAAAGACGTGGCATAAGTCAACACATCACGGTGAGAAGGATCGGTGCCGCACCTTCGATCGTGTCAGACTCCCTCGTCGCGACGTCCCCGCCTCCGACAAGCAGCGCAGACACGATCATCCGTCTTCCCGGATCCATGGAGACAGGAGGCAACGTCCGGTCATCACTCCGGTGCTAGATTCAAAATTCCGGTATCACGCCGGGACACCGCACCGGGACGACCCTGTCGGAGACAATGGTCGACCTAAGCTCCAGCGCACCAGGCGAGCGATGAATGAGAGACTTACCCATAAAATATCATACATGGCATAATGCTTGCACAGGATTGGGTTCTCGAGCTGGTTCAAGTCGGCGGCATAGCTAGATCGGTGTAGTACTAGTCAGGATAATGCGAGTGCGGTGAAATTGAATGCC